TCTTATTTTTGAGGGAACACGGTATTTGGGCTGCAGGAGGAGGTAGCCTCGGGGATGTGGCATGTGTTTGCTATGGCTCCAGGGCAATCGGGCTCAGAATGGCTTCTAGTCACTCCTTCCAGCCCGTCTGTTCCATCCCTGAATTACTGTCATGTGTTTGATTGCACTCTTGCATGTTTCTGAATAAAAACCTCCTTAATTCACCTAAACGTGGAGCCCTCCTCAGTTAGTACTGGATACAGGTGGAAACAATTCTCAGATTAGCCAATCTCTCACTAGCCTCCTTGAGCTAAGCAAATTTCCCCAACTTTTAAGGAGCAGCTAACACAGTTGGTGGGGATCCTGTCTCCCCACCTTTCTTTGGGTAACAAGGTTTGGAAGGCTGAAGGTTGATCTTCTTTCAATGGTTGTGCAAGAGCAGCCAGACAGTGGTAGGGTGCAGTTCTACACCAGTCATTGATTGATTGTATGTGGGTGTCTCCCCGGTGCTGTCCAGTTGCCATTGTGTAGGTGTAGAGGCGAGGCATTGCATAAGGAGGTACTGGCTACCTCCTTGCACAGTGCCTGAGAAAGTAGCTATGGTATGTTGGCATAACCCCCTGATTATAGCATCATAAGCCACCAAGAGAATTCTGGCATAAATGGTCTAGCTTGCCAAGAATAATCCAAATATGTAGCAGAGGAAGAACGATCCAATTTACCGTGATAATTTTTCTTGTCCATGTATTACTATATTAAATGAAACACGGAAATTGGTGGAATATCCTTGTTTTAAATTTAATTTTAAAAAACCCTACACTCGTGGCAGGCTCCAAGAGCATGAAGATGTCATATTTTTAATTGGTTTTTTTGGGGGGGGCAAGGGGTTAAAAGCCTACTCTTGTGGAACAAACTGTATATATTCTGGGAAAAGTTTTACACATTTGAATGCCAGTCCAAACTGCCATAAGCAGCCTAGGCAGCAAAGTTTGCTGAGTTTATGCTGGCAGTGAAAAAGTGCAGGAAGTATGTGTTGTCTTTTCTCCAGCAGTGTTTTGATTATAAATTAATCTCTTGAGATATTGTGACTGCTTCAAATGGTTAATGTGTATGGTTAATGATTATCTGAGCAGGTGTCCAATAGGCACTTTTCTCTGTGCATATAAAGCCTTGAGGGAGTTAGACAAGAAAGAGCACTTACGGAGGGACACCCAGACAAAATAAGTGACGGGGGCTAACTGCAAAGATGTCAAAGAACCTCTTATGCTTTCTCCGCTTCTTTGTGCTCTTGCTTGGCTTCTCAATTATTTGCTTAGGAGCCTTTTGCATCTCTACAGGTGCCCCTGGTTGCAAGTGCAATAGCTTGCCTATTGCCTATTTTCTGTTACCCTTCGGGTTCTTTCTTCTCATCTCTGGGATTTTCTGGAGCACTTATCATGAGGCCAGTAAGCACAAGAGCTTGTTTCACAGCATTTTTCCTGGAAATCCTAGAATTCGAGAGAGCCATATCATTACCATAGACAGGTACGTCTCCTGTGTCTCAGTCCACAGTTCCAGTCTTTGAATTTGTGAAACTCTTTTCACTGTGCACACATTACCACTTCTTTTTCTTCTTTATTTTCTTCACCTAGTCCTGGCATATTTTCATTCCAGTATTTTCCCAGTTATATCATTGGCTAACCCATCATTTCTTATGATGCATTTGATTACACCATTCCGTGTCTCCCTTCCAAATATTATCCACTATTTGTTAATTAAATAAAACGTGTGCTGTACTTTTATCTCTATTATGTTGTTAATGTATTTTAATCTCTTTTCAGTATTTTAATAGGCTTATTTCATGTAATGGCTTTAAAACTTTTATACTATTCATAGTTGCAACTGTATTTTGTTTTAATTTTCTACAAGCTGCTTTGTGTCCCATATTGGGGAAAAGGAGGGATATAAATTAATTAATTAATTAATTAATTATTAACTTTCATTCCCATTCAATGCTGTGCATATTATTTTTCAATATATGTTATGCCACCAATTTACATTCTTCCATTTTTAATCTATTAACCATGCACAACCCATTTATAAAAATATGTATTTGAGAGGTAGACTAGCTCTATTCAGCAAGGGTTACCTTTAAAAATGTCACTTTCAATGTGTATTTTCTGCTTTTAATTTTTGTAGATTTTCTATTGTCTGGTATCTTGCTTTCTGTTTGCTTAAATATTTTTATATTTGCTTAGTAGTTTCTTGTTTAGAGTCTGAGTACTATAAAGGTACCAGATCTTACCAATTCATTGCCTTCCATTTAAAAAACGGACACAGTGCAGGTTACAGTAAATGAAGAAATTAATTAAGAATGTTGTTTCTTTATTCAATACCACTGGGGGGGGGGGAAATGAGAAAAATATAAATTATTCTGCATGACATTCAGGACTCTATGATTTAATTTTATATTGCTTTTCTGTCTGTGTGACCTGTTCTTGTTTTCAGCATTATAAAGAACATTTATTTTAAAACTTAAAAAAGGTTGGTAATAAAAGAAGGCCTGAAACAGAAGGGCCAAATAAAGCTGCTTCCAGCTGCTTTGGGGGCCTGGCGCTTACATGACGCATGCCCCCAAAGTGTCCAGAAGCCGTGCCGAGGCTGTGCCAAGGTGGCAACAACCACCCCAAAAAAGAAGAGACTAAATCTGCTCTTGCCAGTGGCCCATTTGGGACTGCCATGGCAGCTCAATTCGGGAGCAGGCCGTGTGGTCACCACAGTCCCAGCCTGACCGCAGCTGGAGCAACCAGAGGCTGCTCCTTCTGGGCCGTCTACTTCAGCCCAAAGTTTCCTTTCTGTTTTCTAATCTTTTAAGACCACTTCTGGCAAAACTGGCTTCATTTGTTCCCACATTTGTTGCAAAAAATCTGATCTGTATTTCACTACTTATTTCATTTTATTCCAGTCCTTTAAAAATTAGGTCTCTCTTTCCCTCTCTCTTTTTAATGCATTCAGTGACAATCAAAGAGCCAGTGCAGTGTAGGATTAACATAATTATGTTTAAGATACATTATATTTTCTTTAGTTAATAGTTAGAATAAAATCTATTTATACATAGATACTGATAAACAATTATGAACATGTTGTAAATTAGCCAGGAGGTAAAAGCAAAAATGAGAGAAGAATTGTTTAAGTTGAAAAAATCAATTATGGATATAATGTTTTATATCTTGTGTGCTTTCCGCTATGGACAAGTGATGTTTTTATATATATATATATATATATATATACACACACACTATTAAAATAAAATTAAAAAAAGAGCCAGTGCAGTGCTAGAGCATTGGGCTTGGAGGCAGCAAAATCAAATTAAGTTCCCAGCTCAATGTAAAAGCTCCTCAGATGACTTTCCGTGAGTCACTCCCTCTCAGTTGTTATGAACACAGAAAGAGTCTGTGTGCTCTTCAGAGGAAGGGTAGCATTAAAAAAATGCAATCAATGAATTCCCGAATTACAAGGTATCTGCCAGGGCTGTCACTTTATTTAAGCAAACACTTTCATGATGGAAATGATGATCCAAAGATGGTTTGCAACAGTACAGCACACATCCTGATGAGCTGGATTGCAACCGTTGAAGGATTCTGAATTGCAAAATAATTAGTTTAAAATGGTTCCAGAATACTGTATGTTCTAAAGTAGAATCTCAATCTTTAAAAAAACCTTAATGGTATAATGCAAAACCATACGCTCATAGGGCTCGGCATTATTTTTTCAAATATATTGTTAACATGCTACACTCCAAATTGTTCATGCAGTGTTCAACAAAAGTAGAGCTGATCACTGTTATCTGCACATCCTGCAATTTATATTTTTGTGTCAGTGTCTCAGCCATTCCTCTAGTGAAGACTGATGCTCTCACAGTAAGAGTTTCTGTATGTCAAAGTGGCCTCCTGCCTGGTAAAGTTTGTTAATGGGCCATGGATACAAATGTCACTTCCTGTTCTGTTGTGGTAACAGCATCATAAACACTCACAACCAGCAAAGCAGCAGCTCTATAAATACAACACAGCACGGACCCTGGTTAGATAACCAGAAATAACGCTTTCAAACAGCTTCTAGCCTGAACTTCCAAAATAAATCATACTGTATAAATATGCTTAGACAGACTACAGGAGATGGCAGGGATATTAAAACTGTGGGAAATCCTTCCTTACCCAAATCCTATGCCATTGTCATTGGTAGATATATCAAAATTCCTAAGAGTGGCAGAAACACAAAGGCCTGCGAGGGAAATGCAGCTCTCCTTCTAACTTCCCTTAATGCAGAATGTAGGCATTCTTGGTTCTCAAATTAATGAACGTTTCTAGGGGCAATCTCCAAACTGCCCTGAACATACCTCATCTTCTGTGATTTTGGAAGCTAAGCAGGGCCAGAACAGGCAGGCCTGCTTAGGGCTTGGACGATAGACCACATGGTAATACCAGGTATCATCACATAGGACTAGGAAACAATTCTGCTTGAAACCCTAGAGAGCTGGTGCCAGTAAGCTAGATGGATCAACAGCCTGAAGTCTGACTCAGTATAAGGCATTTTCCTTTGTACTTATGTTTGAATTTTAATGAGAAAGGGGAATGCAAATGAGAAAGCAAATGCAAGGACTGAAGGCCAGAGTAGATCTGTGCAGACATTCACTGTTGTGTGCCTTCAAGTTGTTTCCAACTTATGGCAACCCTAAGGTGGACCCTATCATGGGGTTTTCTGGGGCTGAGAGTGTGTGACTCATCCAAGGTTTCCACGGCTGGACAGGGATTCAAGCCCTGGTCTCCAGAGTCATAGTCCAACACTCAAACCACTATGCCATACAGGCTTTCATACAGCAGGCATTTTGTTATTATTGTGCCTTCAAGTCATTTCTGACTTATGTGGACCCTAAGGCAAGCCTATCACAGCTGTCTCTTGGCAAGATTTGTTCAGAGGGTTTTTTTTGTCAGTGCTGAGGCTGAGAGAATATGATTTGCCTAAGGTCACTCAGTGGGTTTCCATGGCCGAACAAGGATTTGAACCCTGGTCTCCAGAGTCATAGGTCCAATGCTCAAACCACTACACCATGCTGGCTCTGTACAGCCGATATATAGAATGCTATATAGATGGTTGTAATTTCTTAAAAACAATTTGTATTTTTGTCTTGTGTTATTTGCAGGCCTGACTTCTATCCTCCCTCTTATGAAGACAGCACAGATCCTGAAAAGCAGACATTTCCCCTGCCAGTCAGCCCACTGGAAAGAGAGAAGGAAACGTACAACATACCTCCACCTCTGTACACCGAGAGCAGCCTTGAATTCATTGACGAAGCGAGCGCCCAGGAAGAACAGCCGCCTTCCTATGAAGCATCCCTGAAGCAGGAAGCTACCAAACATGATTCAACCCCTGCAGAGACTTCTAATGCACCTGTGTCAGAGACCAGCTGCTAATGAAGGCTTGAGTAGGACATGAAGGAATGTCTGCTGTTCTGGGAACCAGGCAGCGGTTATGGCATCGTGTGCCAAGTGCTGTGGAAGTGGACGGAGGATAGGTCTGCTCTACCAGTGTGCCCTGGGTGCCAGGATAGCCTTGTGGGTAGTTCTCAGTGGCTGGCAGTGTGGCATTAGAAAGGTTATTATAATGTGGTACTCTCAACCAGGAAAACAGCCTGGTATTGCTAAGGTTATGATCAATGTCACTGAGTTCAAAACAGTATAGCTGGCTGGTTGCAATACTGTTTGCTTTGGATCTGCTTGTTTACATTGTTGTGGTTTTACTCTGCCTAGGTGAGGAAATAGCAACAAGAACTGACACCATTGTGTAAAAAGCAACAGCAGCAGCATATAAACTTCCAGAGGCAGGGGCCTTTTTGAAAGAGTGAAAAAAGAAATCCTAATGATTTCTAATGATGAATTATGGAGGCATGTGCACACACACACATTCTAAATGAAATCAGCTATGCTATTGCTGAAGGGAAGCATTTTGTTCTTTCCTTAGCATTTACAAAGATGATCGGAGGCATTTTTCCAGAGTTAAACTCCTGAGCTGCCTTAATTGCTTTGCAAGGATTCCTCTGTACAAAAGGGTAAAAAATACATCTTGTAAGAGAGTCAGTTGTGGGGGCTGAATAAGACTAAATCTTGATTAGATCACACAGCCTAATTTTACAGCTGAAGTAAACAAAAGGTTTTGATATGTACAAATAATACTGAATAATATGGATGTAGACTGTTTATCTAGGCTGTTGAATTGGCTTTATTTTATATGTAATTGTTGTGCCATTTTTATGCAATACATATATATGGTGATCCTCAGCCACATGGCATGTGGGCAAGTGTTGTTTAGGATGAAATATGATGGTGAAAGCAGTTTTTCATTGAAGAGTATTTCTTCTGAAAAATGCTGTTGGTATTAATAAACAGTGTCTCAGGTCTTGAGGGGGGAAATGCCAAAGCTGATGTCTTGATAAATGTGACCAACTAGGTTTGAGGCCATGGACACTTGAACTGTGGGATAACTAGCATTAGTGCATCTGATGTCCATGTGTGATACCTGTTTACATCTCCCATGGAGCTTTGACATCCACTTTCTTTGTTAGCAAAGGCTAACTGTGGGATCGGAAATCCCCTGATGGATTATCTAACAGTTGGCATTTTGCTACGTAATCTAACAGTAGTTTATTTTGTAATGACAATGTGTTTATACTCTGATCTGGGACTACCTGGTTTACATACTGGATTGCACTTTCTTCTAATAAAGTTTTGTACTGAAAACTGTTTTCAGAGACAACTAGTATTTTTTTTAACAAAAGGGAAGAACACTTGTTTCTATATTGGACAACAACAAAAAGATCCGACATTGAATGCAATACATTAGAGTTGAACAAGGTGCTTAATGGATGAATAGAGAAGTCCCACAAAAGACTTTTAATGGTATACTCATGGGCATATCCCCGTATGTATCTTTTTTCTTGTGTCATTAGCATGTGAGGACTTCCTCTGTCATTTTCAAATTTTCAAGGAACTCATGGCTTCCTTATGTTTTCAACACTCCCAAGCAGAATAATTAGGGCATTTTTCTTGCGTTGAGAGTTTTACTCCTGATCAATTATATTATTACTTTTATCTAGCAGTTGTCAGAATAAAGTTAAGATTATTTATTTCATTTATCCTTAATGGGTTAGATTAAGAACCAAAAATATTTCCAGGAAACATAAGATATGAGCACAGTTTATGCTACAGTTCTCACAAACCAAATAAATCTGTACTGAGCCACTTTGGCAATTAAAATTTCCTGGACATATTTTGACAATTTTTAAAAAATGGTCTTGCGGCTAAGGCATTACTTTGACTAGAAACTAATGACCCCTACAATTAGTTTTGCCTGCTTGAGAAACCTGTGGAATGTGCTTCCTATAATGAGTCTTTCTATATCATCTTCCATACTGTGCAGCAAACAGCTTTTGAAATAAGAAGCTCCTACTGCATTTTGCATTGTGCATGAATGTCTTGTATTCACAGTAATTTGCAAGGCTGTGCTTAAAAGCAGCACTTTGGATTCTGATTCTTTTTTCAGAAATTTGCCTTGAGATTTTTATGTTCTTTGGAACCCTCCCCACTCCGTTTCTCAGTAAGTTAGAGCGCACCGAAGATAAAATCAAGAGGATTATTCCTACAGTAAAACATGAGAACACAGGTATAAATGTACTTTCGTCCACTCAGCTTTCTTATTCACTGCATCCACCTATGAAGCTAGCTATGATGTGCAACTGACCAATATCAGCCTCCATTGTTTGGAGCATTTTCATGTGTAACAAGCTGTGACTTGTTCTAACAATGTCACAATTAACAAGCTCTGGATTACTCATAGCATGCCAGTTTACAGCATCCCAGTTTGTTGTCTTCATGCAATAAACCAAAGCAACACACCTTGTGTAAAAGAAAGAGGGAATAATACACATTTTCAGAAGCATCAAAGTGATGTTCAAAAAATTAGAAATACTATGTACAGAAGTTTAATTTTTTTTTAAATGTTATAAAGGTCTCCCAAGTTTTATTCAGCTTTTAGCTTTTGAGTCCATCACTGTTCTGTTCCCCATCACAGTAGTAAAGCCAATAGCAACCAGTGAGACTGAGACACCTCTGCTTTGGAAGGGAAAACCATGGTGATAGCATATCAGCCATGGGGTGGTGGGGGTACATGTGCTAACATTATAGAAAAAGGATCCAGAAAATTTATTGATTTACAGAAAAGTTTAATAATGTTGCAATAAAACACTGTGCTCTTAGAAGTGAGAAAATGCTCAGTGCCTCATTTACTTAGACACAAGTTTTTAAAAATCTTGTTTTATTACACCATATCCTATCATCAGCAATTTCATGCAAGGCAGAAAATAGAGCACTGCATTGTACTATATGTCATAGCAAGTGTCAACAAAAGGAACCAAATCAGTTTTTTAAAGCACAAGGATACTAATGATTGCACTTGAACATTTGGCCATTGCAATAGACGTTACTATGCTACGCGTTTCAGATTGCACAAATGCCCTTTCAACAAATGAGAAGCAGCCACACCTCTGTTCCCAAAAGAAGAAAAACATTCAAATGAGTCATATGCAGAAGGAGTTCTCATTGTTTCAATGTCCTTTGCCATTGCTGGAACCATGTCATTCCTTCACAGGGACAAGCAGCACCATTTGCTGAGCCCAGGCATTCACTGAACAATCATTTCTCCTCTGCTTCATCTGTTCAATGATGACTCATCCTATGACCTCCTGATAATGTATTTGGTAGATTTTCAGACAGCTAAGTGAATGAGACAAATGTTTTTAAAACTTCATTCAATTTATTATACTTCCACAGGCAACTTGTTGCTGTTTTATGTGGCATGGTCTCCTCCCTCCACTGAAAAGACATTCAGAGCTACAACACTTCTTTCTGTTACAGCAGAGTTCACATTCCTTTAACCAGAGTTATATGAAAACAACAAGTGTAATGCATTTCACTGGTTAATTAATGCACTCAAAATGAAGCCTCTTAGTTCTATAGACTGCTGACTTTTTCCCACCTCCTCCCCCTTCAAGGTGTTAAAAGAACCAGAGTACTATTCTATTGTAAATGACTCTGGAAAATGTTCAGGGTCTTCAGTGACCACCCCACAGGTTTTTTAGCATCACTAGTCCAAGAAGTGGGACTAGCCCAAAGAAAGTTCGGTATCATTCTGTGCAGGCTAGTTATCTAAGTTTTGTTAAGTCCTGTTGCTAGACTCATTTTAAGAGATCCACCCCCACACTATAATTCCAAATATATAATAATCCCTTTAAAAATCAGCCTATGAACTCAAAGCATTATGCTTGAAATACCACAAAATGGTCATCACGCACTTAAGGAATCAGAGTTCAATACCATTTTAATCTCTGCCTTCTGGCAATACATAAGCATTCAGCGAGGAGGCATTTCTGGCCTATTCTTTTGAAATCAGAGATTAACATTTTAAAAGTCACTGAACACTTCTTATATAAAATGCTTGACCTAGCCATGATCATTCATATTTAAGAAGTAGAAATAAGTTCATTTTGAGATACAGTTTGATAAGGTTTGGACTCCAATTCATAACATCATGTTTATTTTTAAAGGACAGGAGGATAGTCTAGGCAACCTCCCTCCAAAAACAGTAAAATTAACAAAAGACATGGATCTCTGCCAAAGCAGCTGCAGTAGTTCAATACTAAAAGGTCATCTCTAGCATTGTTCAGTGATAATAAAATATATAGGTCCTTTAAATTAAAACTGTACAAGTTAAGTTTGAATGCAGAAAGATTCCTAAGTGGAAAAAAGCCATCATATTTTTTTTCATTGCAAGCATGCAGACCACCTGTGTAGAGCATTTGCTGCTGGACATGTGAATAATACAGCAGACAAGAACAGGAAAGGTAATTTGTTTGCCGAAGAGTTGGCTCTGTGGTAATTGCCTTCCTTTACCCTTTAGATTCAAACTTTAACGTACATAAAGTGTACCAGAACATAGCAGATGCCAGGCTTCAGCTGGTACAGAAAAGAGCACTTATTATTTGTGGAGCTTTAGTTAAGTGATTA